TGAGATAGGTAGGAGGAGAACCAGGAGAGAGCAGAGTCTCGGAGGCCAAGAGAGTGGAGTTTTTTGGAGAAGGGGATGGTCAACAGTATCAAAAGCCACAGAGAGGTCAAGCAGTAAGAGTACATAGTAGTGGCCATTAGTTTTAGCAGTTAGTAGATTATTAGTGAGTTTTAGTAGGGCAGTTTCAGTGGAGTGTAGGGGCGAAAGCCAGGACTGTAAAGGGCCAAGAAGGTTGTTGTCAGTGAAGTAGGAGCTCAGGCGATTGTAGACTAAGCGTTCTAAGAGTTTAGAGGTAAATGGCAGCAGGGAGATGGGTCTTAAGTTGTTTGAGTCAGTGGGGTCCAGGGAGAGCTTTTTAAGTATGGGAGTGATGTGTGTGCATGCTTTAGAGGGGAGGGGAAGGCACCGTTAGAGAGGGAGAGATTGAAGATGTGAGTGAGGGAGCATAGGATGGAAGAAGAGGGTGACCGTAGTAGTTGTGAGGAGACAGGATCCAGGGGGCAGGTAGTGAGATGGGCTTCTGAGAAAACCTTAGTGACCTCTTCAGTAGTAGCGAGGTCAGAAGAGGAAAGTGTTGAGGGAGGTTTAGTATAAGGTATGCTAAGTGGAATGGATGTCTGTGCAGTGGTGATGCCCCTACGAATTGCGTCAATCTTGTTTTTGAAATGATTTGCAATCTCGTAAGCAGTGAGTGAGGTACTGGGTGGAGGTGGAGGTGGAGAAAGTAGAGAGTTAAAAGTAGAGAAGAGACTACGAAGACTGGATGACAAGCTATTGATAAGAGTGACAAAGTAGGCTTGTTTGGCAGCATAAAGGGAGGAATTGTATGTTAAGAAAGCAGATTTATATAGGGTGAAAGCTTGGTGAGATTTGGTTTTTTACACCACATCGCTCCAGCGCACGACTATGTCATTTAAGATTTCTGGTGTCCTCAGTCTGCCAAGGTTGTAATGGTCGGGGCCTGATTCTTCATGTTGTTAGAGGAGCAAGTGAGTCTAAAGTGGATGAAAGCGAACTGTTGTAGACAGCAGTGGCCAGGTCAGGGCAGGACAGGGGAGAGATTCTGTCATAGAGTTGGTCAGTTGCAGAGTGGAAAAGAGAAGGGTTCAAGTTATGAAGGTTTCTGTGGGTAATTGTTTGCTGCTTGGAGGGAGAGGTGTTTGAAGATGAGGACACTGTGAAGGTGATGAGATTGTGATCAGAGAGAGGAAAGGGGGTGTTTGTGAGGTTGTAGGGAGTGCAAAGATGGGAGAAAACAAGGTCTAATGTATTCCCATCAGAGTGAGTGGAGGACGGCGTCCATTGTGCTAAGGCAAAAGATGAGGTTAGGTTGAAGAGTTGGGATGTAGCCGGGTTGTTCACATTAATTGAAACATTTTAAAGCATATACTTTCCTCTATCTTGAAAATAGCTGATTAGTATACTAAAACCCAATTTGCAAAAATAAATAAATAAACTGATAAGTTTTATTGGACTTTGATCTCAGTCGTTATACATGTTTTATTATGTAGTATGATTTGTGTTACACACTGTTGTTCTTCTGTCTTTTGGTTTCTATAGGCTGCCCTTCCTGCCCTTTGGCTTATAGCCAGTTTAAGCCGCCCTCATAAACATAGACCCCAATCCCGTTTGGTAAGCAAACTCCTAATTCATCATGCCTGTTCCTATTTGTATAAAACCATGATATGATTCCCCTTTATAACTGTATTTAATTCATTTTCATTTAGAATCAATCCATCTTGAAGATGATGGGTTATGGTTTGGTACTGTGCACCTTCTGGAAAGGTTGGGAGATGCGTGAAACCACCAACGTAAGTCAACAATGTTGTGTTATGCTTCATAAGTTTCCTATAAATCCAATATAAAAATGAAGAGGTTGTTGTCCTGGTTTACCCAATTTGGCAACAGCTGATAGGAGACATTTGTGAACAGACAAGGATCAGGTCAGTTGGTCATCAAATAGTTACAACATTTGGGTGACTTCACACTTGATTTCCATGAAATCACCTCTCAGGCCGCTCTGCATTGCCAGCTGTGCTAGAGGGCAGTGTGGTGCATATTATATTGGCGCAAGCTTTATTTAAAGTGCTCCCCCCATGTTTTTTTTGCAATGTCGGCACAATGCGTAGGGCTGCCACTTTAAAAAGTGTACAAAAATGACACAGGTTCTGTGGCTGATTAAGGTGGTAATTAAACTCACTTAGTGCCTTCTCTGCATTAAATTAGTCCTAGAACCTGTATAATTCATATGTGATCGGTTTTAAAGGGATGAGGTGGCAACCCTAGTGATCCGCTTGCTGCAGTGCAATTCGGCCCGGTGTGCTGCTATAAAATGCAGCATGTATTCCAGCATGCTGCAGCGCAGGTATATGGGTCATATCACAGGCAGGGGCGGTAGCAGACAGAGGGATTCGCTGGGGAAGGTAACCATAGTAGGAGTCAGAGTATGAAAAACAGGATCTTGAAGCAATGGCAGGATCACCAGGAACCTTTTGGTCAGGAAATGCCCCAGGGCACCAAGCAGGCTTTGGAACTCACCATATTGCAGTATCTCAGGCATTACTGGGACAAGGGCAACTAGAGCCTAAGGTGAACATGCCACATTGTACCCCCCAAGATGTATGAGCATTATGTGCATGCTTATCTCCTAAGCATAAATTCCTCCTCCACGTACAAATCCGCTCATCTGTTGAAATCCCGCCTCCCAGCACAAATATTTGCCCCCCCCCCATTCCTCCAGCTTGAATCTTCTCTCTTCAGCATAAATCCCCCAAAATTCTCCCCTCTGAGCACAAATCCTCTCCCCCCACTTCAAATCCCCCATCCTAGCACAAATCCCCCTCCAAAAAAAATGTTTCCTCATAGCACAAACACCCCCCATCACCCTACTAGCATAAATCCCTCTCCCCCCCCCGAAAGAAAAAAAAATCCCTTTCAAGCACAAATCTTCTCCCCCTACTCCAAATTCCAATCCTAGCACAAGTCCCCCTCCCACTAAAAAAAAATTCCCCTCTTAGCACAAATACCCCCCATTCATCCCCGCTAGCACAAATTTTCCCCCCCAAAGGAAAAAATTATCCTCGTAGCACAAATACCCCCAAACATCATAACTAGCATAAATCCCCCCTCCCAAAAAATTAGTTTTTTAAAAAATCCTCTCGAGCACAAATCCTCTCCCCCTACTCCAAATCCCCTATCCTAGCACAAATCCACTCCCCCCTAAAAAAAGAACAAAAAAAAAATTGCCATCTGAGCACATATCACCTTTTCTAGCACAAACTCCCCAAACACCCCCCCCCCCCCCCCCCCCCCCCCCCCCCCGCCATAGAGTCTCTGACCCCGAACACACCTGCAGTTCAGGAGTAATGGCTTCTCATAGACTTTGCATGCTGCAGGCTTATTTTGGGACAGTAACTCTGAAAATAATAAGGCCATGAACAGCCAGGCAAGTAGCATTTTCAGGAGATCAGCCCTGGCAGCCCACATTCTTGTCTCAGTACAGGTTCCCTTTATTACTTTGTGTGAAAGTCCTTCTCATGGAGGAACCATGACTTCCTGTTTGTTTTTTTTTTTCTAGTTATCGGAGATGATCATTCAGACAGTCCTGCGTTCTCCATGCTCCCTGGCAGCTCTCTGATTTCACCACCAATGGGCAGATCACAGGAGATGCCATAGAAAAAAAAAGGAAACATTCTACTTGTAGGTTCCCTCCAACAACCTTTGTAACGGAAGGACAAATATCCTAATAAAGTTTATTGACAAAATCTGTTAATGTTTTAGTTTTTCAAACTGACATTTGCTTTGGATTACCAGCGGAGGGAACGTGTTAACTTTCCTTCTCATGATAGATTTGTATTTGATGATTTTTATTGTAAATTATGAAAATTATTTTGTAAAATGAATCATTAAAAATGGAAAGCCGAACTTCAATGAGTCCACATTTCCAAATATTTGCTGCAAAAGCTTTTGAGGCGCTTTTGCAATGCTTGTTTGCTTCATAAATGTGCTGCTTTATTCAATATACTGCTTTATACCTTCTAAAATAGTAATGAACAAAATAAATGCAAAAAAGTTGTTGTATCCGTGTAATGATGATGAGCACACGTTTAACCCCTCACCCTCCAGAGGATTTCCCCCCATCCTGACCAGGCCATTTTTTACAAATCTCTCATTAAAGGGATCTCTATAGCAAGTTATACAGATGAATTTTGGAACCATTTGTATGTTCAAACTATTCATATAACATAAAGCGGTTCCATAAATTATCTATTGCAAGTCATAAGGCAAAGACCGTATGACACTGTCATAACATACCAACATACACTATATTGCCAAAGGTATTGGGCCACTGGCTTTCCACGCACATGAACTTTAATGGCATCCCAGTCTTAGTCCGTAGGGTTCAATATTGAGTTGGCCCCGCCCTTTCCACGCACATGACCTTTAATGGCCCCCCAGTCTTAGTCCGTAGGGTTCAATATTGAGTTGGTCCCACCCTTTGCAGCTATAACAGCTTCAACTCTTCTGGGAAGGCCGTCCACAAGGTTTAGGAGGGTGTCTATGGGAAGGTTGGACCATTCTTCCAGAAGCACATTTGTCAAGTCAGGCACTGATGTTGGGGGAGGAGGCCTGGCTCGCAGCCTCCGCTCTAATTCATCCTAAAGGTGTTCTATGGGGTTGAGGTCAGGACTCTGTGCAGGACAGTCAAGTTCCTCCACCCCAAACTCGCTCCTCCATGTCTTTATGGACCTTGCTTTGTGCACTGGTGCGCAGTCATGTTGGAACAGGAAGGGGCCATCCCCAAACTCTTCTCATAAAGTTGGGAGCATGAAATTGTCCAAAATGTCTTGGTATGCTGATGCCTTAAGAGTTCCCTTCACTGGAACAACCCCCAACCATAATCCCCCCTCCACCAAACTTTACACTTGGCACAATGAAGTCAGGTACGTAACGTTCTTCAGGCAACCGCCAAACCCAGACACATCCATCGGATTGCCAGACAGAGAAGCGCGATTGGTTACTCCAGAGAACACGCCTCCACTGCTCTAGAGTCCAGTGGCGGTGTGCTTTACACCACTGCATCTGACGCTTTGCATTGCAGTTGGTAATGTAAGGCTTGGATGCAGCTGCTCAGCCATTGCAACCCATTCCATGAAGCTCTCTACGCACTGTTGTTGTGCTAATCTGTAGGCCACACCAAGTTTGGAGGTCTTTAGCTATTGGTTCTGCAGACAGTTTGTGCACTGTGTGTGGTAAGGCACATGGGGTAATCAGAACACTGGTATTGCAGTAATCAGGGCACTGTATGGGGTATGGCAGTGATCAGAATGCTGGTTTGGTATATGGTGGTGATCAGGACGCTGGTATGGGGTATGGTGATGATCAGGACACTGGAATGGGGTATGGCAGTGATCAGAATACTGATATGGGATATGGCGGTGTTCAGGACACTGGTATGGGGTATGGTGGTGATCAGGACACTAGTATGTTGGTGATCAGGATGCTGGTATTGGGTATGGTGGTGATCAGGACATTGCCATTAGGTATGGTGGTGATCAGGATGCTGGTATGGGGTATAGAACTGGTCAGGACACTGGTATGAAGTATGGTGGTGATCAGGACACTGGTATGGGGTATGGTGATGATCAGGACTGCCGTAGGCTGTTAAGGGGTATGGTGGTCATCAGGACACTGGTAGGAGGTATGGTCGTGATCAGGATGCTGGTATGAGGTATGGTCGTGATCAGGGTGCTAGTATGGGGTATTGTGGTGATCAGGACGCTGGTATGGCGTATGGTGGTGATCAGGATGCTGGTATGGGGTATTGTGGTGATCAGAATGCTGGTATGGGGTATGGTGGTGATCAGAATGCTGGTATGGGGTATGGTGGTGATCAGGACGCTGGTATGGGGTATGGTGGTGATCAGAAGAATGCTGGTATGGGGTATGTCAGTGATCGATACTGCTTCCTGTCCGCCGTTTATAGGTTATGGGTGGACGAGTAGAATTTAAGTAATAAGGCAAAGTGGAATTTTAGTTTTGGTGCAGGGGGGTATAGCAGAATTCTCCATATTGTGTACGTAACAATGGGTGTAAGAGATCTCAAACCCTGGGATGGAGTGTGAGATTCTTGTAAGTAGAAGGTTGGAGATAAACTGGTAAAGGTTCCTATAAGTAGATTACAAAAGAGAGGATGAATAGTGCTTGTCTCAGATTAGCCAGATTCAATTAGAATCTTAGTTTGGGGGAACCAATCCCCTGATCTCTACTCATCACAATGTTACAGTAACACAATGTTTTTTAAAAAACCTGAGTTCTCTCTTCTCTTCTGTTTTCTGGTTTCTGATGTCCTCTTCTATTTTAACTTTCTACTTTTTAAGCACGGCCACATGAACATCGTTGAGCAGGAATTTCTTTCTCCCTGTTCGGTCTCTTTTTAGGTCTCTTGGTAGACTCAAGCAGTATGTAACGTTTTCCAGGGTCATTTGCATGATCCTCAGGATGTCGGTGGTTCTTCCAATAGTTTTCACATTGTTTCCCTTTGTGTAATTCTCAATGGCGATCACTGTCTTCACTTCTATAAGTCTGATTTTTTTCTCTACCTCAGAGAAATCTCCTTGGGTTTTAGCCCTTCAAAGACCCATGGGGATTTGATGAAGGACCTCTGCCCTGATCGCTTTGCCTTGTGTCACAGTTTGAAAAGAGAAAGCCAATGTATCCAACACATTTAGGAACTAGCAAGTTGCAACGTACACTCATTGGCCAATTTATTAGGTCCACCTGTTCAATTGCTTGGTAACACAAATTGCTAATCAGACAATCACTTGGCAGCAATGCAATGCATTTAGGCATCTAGATGTGGTGAAGACGGCTTGCTGAAGTTCAAACCGAGCATCAGAATGGGGAAGAAAGGGGATTTAGGTGACTTTGAATGTGGCGTGGTTGTTAGTGCCAGATGGGCTGGTCTGAGTATTTCAAAAACTGCTGATCTACTGGGATTTTCATGCACAACCATCTCTAGGGTTTACAGAAAATGGTTGGAAAAAGAGAAAATATCCAGTGAGCAGCAGTTGTGTAGAGGAAAATGCCTTGTTGATGTCAGAGGACAGAGGAGATGGTAGGATCAGAATTTGGCATAAACAGCATGAAAGCATGGATCCATCCTGCCTTGTATCAACGGTTCAGGCTGGTGGTGGTGGTGTCATGGTGTGGGGATCCATCCTGCCTTGTGTCAGTGGTTCAGGCTGGTGGTGTGGTGTCATGGTGTGGGGGATCCATCCTGCCTTGTATCAATGGTTCAGGCTGGTGGTGGTGGTGTCATGGTGTGTGGGATCCATCCTGCCTTGTATCAATGGTTCAGGTTGGTGGTGGTGGTGTCATGGTGTGGGGGATCCATCCTGCCTTTTGTCAGTGGTTCAGGCTGGTGGTGGTGGTGTCATGGTGTGGGGGGATCCATCCTGCCTTGTATCAATGGTTCAGGCTGGTGGTGGTGGTGTCATGTGTGTGGGATCCATCCTGCCTTGTATCAGTGGTTCAGGCTGGTGGTGGTGGTGTCATGGTGTGGTGGATCCATCCTGCCTTGTATCAATGGTTCAGGTTGGTGGTGGTGGTGTCATGGTGTGGGGGATCCATCCTGCCTTGTATCAATGGTTCAGGCTTGTGGTGTCATGGTGTGGGGATATATCCTGCCTTGTATCAATGGTTCAGGCTGGTGGTGGTGTCATGGTGTGGGGGATCCATTCTGCCTTGTATAAACGGTTCAGGCTGGTGGTGGTGGTGTCATGTGTGGGGCAGATTTTCTTGGTACTAGCAAGGTGGACCTAATAAAGTGGCCAGCGATTGTATTTCTTCTTTGTGCTCAGCATTAGATATTTTTCTTTTAGGAAACTCCTTCTCTAGCTTCCTCCAGTTGGACTTTCCAGACTATGGACACTGTGGTTGGTGCATATTGCGTTGAAAAATCTGAGGAGTAACTCTTCATAAAGTCCACAATAGCATTGCAAGATTGTTCAGTTTGGGTAACTAAAGGAATCCTGTCATACAACAAACATAGGTACTGCCCACGTTCATGTCCTTACGAAAATGCCAGTTGGCCTGGCTGTCTTTGACTTTAATGCTTTTTTTGAGTCATTTATTGGCAGGGACCTATGGCTCGGTACTAGATGTAGAAGAATGGCACATGGAGACTGGAAGAAGTGGCACAATTATCATTTAGTTACATTGTTGGTAAACAGGCATCAAGTAAAGTGGCAACAGAAAGGCAGTTGACTTAACAGTTCCAAGAAATTTGGTATCAGCAACACAATACACAAGAACACAGGTGTGGATGTACTCAACAATGTTAGTGGCACATTGGCAAGGATCCGGTAATTCAATGGTTGCACTTTCAGACAGGTTTACATTACCCGAGCAACATCTGAGTAGAGCGGTGGCTGTAGGCAGGGTAGTGGTGTAAATGGCAATTAAAAAATAGAGGAGGATTCTAAGTCTCAGAACAGGATTCCTGGGATTTGCAGAGCTGGTATCCTTAAGCCTAGTACACATGGGCCAAATGTTGGGTGGCATTGGTCGGTTCAATAGAAACTGGCCAACATTTGTCCCGTGTGAACAGCTACTAATTGATGCTCTCAACCAATGACTGAGAGTGCTGACTGGAGTGTTCTGGCGGCCGGGGCTGCCCCTTGTCAGAACACAATAGCACATTGGGGAAGATCGGGTGCAGCCTAAGTGCTGACGTCACGCCACCGGGTCCGTGCTTCAGAACGGTGGCCATCTTGGTATGTGGCATACTTAATGCTTGTATTGTTCTCCATGTGGAATACTTTTATGTATACAGTCAGGTCCATAAATATTGGGACATCGACGCAATTCTAACATTTTTGGCTCTATACACCACCACAATGGATTTGAAATGAAATGAACAAGATGTGTTTTAATTGCAGACTGTCAGCTTTAATTTGATCCAAATCAGGTGAACGGTGTAGGAATTACAACAGTTTGCATATGTGTTAAGAGACCAAAAGTAATGGGACAATTGGCTTCTCAGCTGTTCCATGGCCAGGTGTGTGTTATTCCCTCATTATCCCAATTACAATGAGCAGATAAAAGGTCCAGAGTTCATTTCAAGTGTGCTATTTGCATTTGGAATCTGTTGCTGTCAACCCTCAAGATGAGATCCAAAAAGCTGTCACTATCAGTGAAGCAAGCCATCATTAGGCTGAAAAAAAAACAAAACAAACCCATCAGAGAGATAGCAAAAACATTAGGCGTGGCCAAAACAAATGTTTGCAACATTCTTAAAACATTGTGGTGGTGTATAGAGCCAAACATTTTAGAATTGTGTCGATGTCCCAATATTTATGGACCTGACTGTACTTTTAAAATTAAAATACTACTCTATATACCATTTTCCGGGCTCCGTGTGGTGAGCATTTCCTTTCAGAACATAAATGGACCATTCAAGTTGTCGGAGAGTGGATAATACAGACCCTTTGTTACATCTGCTACCTAACAAGTAGTCCTCTGGTGAGTACATGGTGGTGGTGGATTGCACATTGGACTCTAGAGCACTGTGTGGGACTGAACACGATTCGTTGTGATTACTACTATCACACCACTGATACACAGATTCATCCTGGAAGGATTTTTGTTAATTATTCTTTATATTGGTTGCACTGAGATACATGTACATTCAAGAATCCAATTACAAATCTGCCCCATGTGTATAAATACCATTTACTGCTCATATAGTCACAGAGGAGTCTGAGGTAAGTGTATAAATGGATTTTATTTCATTCTGAGACAGACAAAAGCAATTACAAACTGTTTAGATGATTGGATAAAAATAAACACAGAGAGGTTAATATCTTGTGTTTCATACTCTCTTTATGTATTGTGGTCATAATTAAAATAAAATTAGTTCAAAATATATTTCTATATTGTTCCCATTTAGTTAAATATGTATTGCAAAATTTGTAAATATTTTGTATTATCCAGCCAACAGAGGGAGCTAACGGCTCCAGTGTTTCAGCTCCAGAATTCAGTGACTCCTCCCCCTCCCTCCCTTCCTTCATAAGGTTCTTTACAAGGTGTCAATCAGACAAGTGGAGCCATGAAGCAGGCAGCATCTCCTGTGCCCTCTCTCCCCATAGTGACTGTATACATATAGATAAGAAAAATTTTAAAGATATAAAAGACCAGTTTAAAACTTTTAAAAACTATTTCAGAAGAAGATATTAAGGTAAAACTAAAGGCAACACTTTTTTTTTTTTGTTTGAGTGGAGAGGGACTAGAACCCCTAGTCCCTAGTTTGACACTGGGATCTGCTTTTAACCTGTCATAAAAAAAAACATGGTGCTGTCATGGATGACCTCCTTCTTAAAATCCTAGGTGCTGGCTGTCATGATGATACTGTGACCTTAGATTTTCTTGACTTGAAATTAGCATGCAGCCAGTGAAGTCATGCTTTGCATACTTTTTGAGGGTTAGCAAGGTTTTTTTACTCAGAGAATAGGTGCAGAACTCGCTCCTTCACCCCTTGCAGAGGGAGCCATACAGGGGATCGGTTCCAGTAATTGCCCCCCCCCCCCATCACCCTCTCTGTGCACTATACATTTCCCTCTGCTGCCTGGGCCCCCCTGTATGCCCCCACCCCTGCAGTGCTGCTGGCTTCCCTCCTCTCCAGCAGCTGCAGTCACGCAATAGGATCCTTTAGCATGGAGAGTGGGGGAAAGGTCTGGTAAATATATCACATTTATCAGCCCCTTCTTTTCCTGAGTGAACACAATGATTGATTGGCACCAATCACTCACTGTGTTCATTCATAACTGAATGTCAAGGTCCTACCTTTTCCCTGAGGTTATGTTACTCCATGTGCTGGCGTCCATCTTGAATTTCTGCTGAGCATGGTGGGAATCCTTTATGCCTTCAGGTCTCTGAGGTCCATACCCCAGAGGGGTGTGGCTGATGACATATAAGCCTGTGGTCCGCACATGCTCTTTGCACTTGTGTCTTTGTGTTGCTGTTACTCTGTTCTGACTCTCGTGACTCTCCTGGTATCTGATTCGGCTTGTGACTCGACTATTCTTTGTATTCTCCTTTGATCTGACCCTCTGTTGCTGAACCCGGCTCGTGACCTGTGATTCTCGTCTGCTGTCCTGTACTGTTTTGTCCTGTTGTTGTTGACCCGGCCTGTCTGACTACTACTACTTCCACCAGCTACACACCATTGGCGGCGGCCATTACCGCAGCTGAGGTGTCTCGGGGGCCGCGACCTGGTTCCTGGCTGCGTCAAGTCCATCCCCACCATCAGGGGCCCTGGTGAAGGGCAGCCTGGGACTTAGACTCCGCGCCCTGAGGGACTTCAGTCTGTGGGTGGTGGTTGTCGTCAGCCAGTGCTTTACATTGTTAGTCCTGCCTGTCCATTCCTCTGCTCCTGCCCTGACACTGAAACCTAGTAAACTGTTTTTTTTTCCCCAAGGGGACCTGTCAGGTTGGCTGTATGGTTTCTAACAGCAGCCCTGCCGCCCTGCCAGCTAGAATAGATCCCCCCAGCAACAAAGGACCACCAAAACAAAATATCCCCCAACAACAATTGACCACCAGCAGAAACAACAGTTCTCCCTGCAGCCAGCATCAATAGACCCTCTTGCACCCCTTTGTATTACATACATTCAGTGAGTCCTGCTGAAAAAAAAAGCCCTGAGGGTTAGTATTTTCTGAAGGAGGTCAGCATTAGCCACCAGATATTTCTTTGACACAGATTTCCTTTAAAAAGCTCGAAGGTGAATTTCAAACCCTTAACTCCGACCAAAACCATCTTTGTTTTGGATGGTGTGGGCAACGGTTAGAGCTTTTTGGGGTTTTTATTGCCATCTGTGTCCTGTTGGCGAGATTTCTCTACATAGAGATTCAGGACTATTTTTGTAGAGTGAAGAAGAACTTCTGGCTGGGTTTTTATGGTTGTCTGTGCCTTCCTGTCTCAGTGACAACTTCTCCCCATTTATTGGAAGGGACAGGAAGTCTCCCCAAAGGGGTCACAGGCAAAACAGTGAATCCTGGCAGCAAGTGACTCTTCTTCACTATGACCAAAATTAAAAAAAAAATGGCTGGAGTTTGGCTATAAAAAATTTGCCATAATGTTCCTAAAAGAATAGATTGGTGGGACCAACTGGTGATGCATAGCAAAAATTGGCCAGATCCAATGGAAATCCTAATTTTGGAGATCCAGTCCAATGATCCCTACTCATCATCACAATGTTACTGAAGTACACAAAATTTCTTAAAAAACCAGTTAGTCTTCTCCTGGCTTGTGTCGTCCTTCATTATTTTTTCTGTTTCTTTTTGTGGTCCGCCTCCTGGATGTAGTTGAGCAGGAATTTCTTCCTCTCTTTCTGGTCTCTTTTCGGGTCTCTTGGTAGACTCAGGCGGAATGTGACATTTTCCAGAGCTTTTTGTATGATACTCAGGATGTCGGTGGTTCTTCCCAGAGTTTTTACATGGCTGTCCTCTGTGTAATTCTCAATCATGATCACAGTCTCCGCTCCCATAAATTTGAATGTTTTCTCTACCTCCATGAAGTCTCCACAGGTTGTATGGTGATAACAACAATGGGGACAACACCTGGAAAATAAATTTCAAATTGAGGGTCACTGGTTCGAATTCCAACCACACCACCTGCTGCAAATGTTCCCCTGTGACTGCGTGGGTTTCCTCCGTTCACACTCCAAAGACATCTGGTAAATTGACTCCTGTCTAAATTGTCACCTAGTATGGTATGTATGAGTGAGTTAGGGACCATAGATTGTACATTAGGGACTGATGTGAATGTATTTATATGTTGTAAAGCACTGCGTAAATATATCGCTATAGCACCTGAGATAAATACCTTTTGTTGGATAGCCTGCAAATACCTTTAGAAAGCTTCAAATTTTCCTTCTGTGATCCCTGGAAGATCACCAATCAAGTTATCAACTTCGCCCTAAGTTTTGTTCCCCACCCCCACCCACAGACAGACCATTGGTACAATGACTGCCTAAAGGCAGGTGCTTACAAGGGGTGCTGCTATTAGACAGGATTCGAGGCTGCCTAGGCAGGAAGGGGTTAACTCAGGTTCTACAGTTTTCCAGGTTTTTCTGGGCTCTCTCCCTTCACCCTGTGCTGTTGATAAAAGGGGGGGGGAAGACTCTGCTCAGAGGGAATCTGCCATGGCTGCATGGAAAAAAGGATCAAGAGGCCTGCCGTGCCAGAAGTAACCAAGAGCAACCTGCAAGCACCCTCCAATGGATTTCACCAGTCTAGGACTTCTCCAAACCATGGAATACTACCTAGAAGGGTATACCTGGGCAGCCTGAGACTAGTTAGTTAGGGTGAGGCTGTGGTTATACTTTGGACTGTAATGTTGAAGAGTGTCTTAGTAAGAGTTGTTATCCTTCAAATGACTGGTCTGTAGTCACTACAAAGGGTGCATGGTGGGTACAAAGAACAAGGCCTGCAACACACACACGGGGGGAAGAGGAAGACATGTGGTTGCTAAGGGCAGCCAGTGCAAGGGAATTACATGACAGCCAGGCAGCAGGAGTACAGTATTGGCAGGGGTGATAGGAGCGCATTGCTGTTTCCCCTAATTGTCGTGTCCCAATCAACCAGGACCAAATTCATGTGGTGTAGACCTCAGGGACCTAGCCGCAGATACAGGAGGAGTACAAAGGTTCACTCAGAAAGGTTCAGGGGTACAGGGCAGAACCCACAAGTTATCACTGAGAATAAGGTGATAGGAAGGCTGGATATGGTGGAATGGGGCATATGCTCAGTAGTGTCCCCTTCAAAATGTCTCATTCCATACAGTTGTATGTATCATGGGACAGTGTGGCTCACGCAGTAAAGCCTACATTAGGACACTGCCGCATCAGAGTGCCGCCTTAATGTTGAGTCACCATGAACCTGGCTCTGCCTTGTCCTGGGCATTACTGAGTTTGTACACTGGAGGGGGAGAGAAAAGGCCACTGGTGCACGGGCCAGGTGGCCCCACTCACACACTCTGTTTAGGCAACCAAGATTGGCCAGATGGACTGCGGGGGGAGGCAGAACTTAATAAAGTTCTCTGCTACACTGCTTACCCCTGGGATTGGAGATCTTCCTGGGAGCACAGAACAAAGATTTGAAGGTCCTTGCAGGTAGCATCGCTGGTAAGGTGGAAGACTCCGATCCATCCAGGTGTGTGTGTGCGTGCGTGTCTCTACCACCTCCTATATCTCTATATATTGTGTTCAGTAAGATATCGCTGTCATATCTCCCCTTAAAGTGTTACTAAACTCCAGACCCTCATTCACTATATCCGCTCTCCCTGAACCCCCATTCACTATATCTGCTCTCCCCGGACCCCGCATTCCCTATATCCACTCTCCCCGGACCCCGCATTCACTATATCCGCTCTCCCCGGACCTTGCATTCACTATATCTGGTCTCCCCGGACCCCGCATTCACTATATCCGCTCTCCCCCGGACCTTGCATTCACTATATCCGCTCTCCCCGGACTCCGCATTCACTATATCCACTCTCCCCGGACCCCGCATTCACTATAGCCACTCTCCCCAGAACCCACATTCACTATATCCGCTCTCCCCGGACCCCCTATTTGATATATCCACTCTCCCCGGACCCCGCATTCACTATATCCACTCTCCCCGGAACCCTCATTCGCTATATCCACTCTCCCCGGGCCCTGCATTCACTATATCCGCTCTCCCCGGAACCTGCATTCAAAATATCTAGTCTCCCCAGACTCCGCATTCGCTATATCCACTCTCCCTGGACCCTGCATTCACTATATCCGCTCTCCCTGAACCCCCATTCACTATATCCACTCTCCCCGGAACCCGCATTCACTATATCCACTCTCCCCGAACCCCGCATTCACTATATCCACTCTCCCTGGAACCCGCATTCACTATATCCGCTCTCCCCCCGGACCCCACATTCACTATATCCACTCTCCCCGAACCCCGCATTCACTATATCCACTCTCCCTGGAACCCACATTCACTATATCCGCTCTCCTCGGACCCCACATTCACTATATCTAGTCTCCCCGGACCCCGCATTCACTATATCCACTCTCCCCGGACCTTGCATTCTCTATATCCGCTCTCCCCGGACCCTGCATTCACTATGTCAGCTCTCTCCAGACCCTGCATTAACTATATCTGCTCTTCCTGGACCCCGCATTCACTATATCCGCTCTCCCCAGACCCTGCATTCACTATATCCGCTCTCCGCGAACCCCGCATTCACTATATCTGCTCTCCCCAGACCCTGCATTCACTATATCCGCTCTCCCCGGACCCCGCATTCACTGTATCCGCTCTCCCCGGACCCCGCATTCACTATATCCGCTCTCCCCGGACCCCACATTCACTATATCCGCTCTCCCCGGACCCCCGCATTCACTATATCCGCTCTCCCCGAACCCTGCATTCACTATATCCGCTCTCCCTGGACCCTGCATTCAGTATATCTGCTCTCCCCGGACCTCGCATTCACTATATCTGCTCTCCCCGGACCTCGCATTCACTATATCCGCTCTCCCTGGACCCCGCATTCACTATATCCGCTCTCCCCGAACCCCGCATTCACTATATCCGCTCTCCCCCGAACCCCGCATTCACTATATCCGCTCTCACAGACCCTGCATTCACTATATCCGCTGTCCCCGAACCCCGCATTCACTATATCCGCTCTCACAGGCCCTGCATTCACTATATCAGCTCTCCCCGGACACTACATTCATTTTATCTGCTCTCCCCAGACCCCGCATTCACTATATCAGGTCTCCCCGCACCCCGCATTCACTATATCCTCTCTCCCTGGACTCCGCATTTACTATATCTGCTCTCCCCCCGGAATGCAGCAAAACACACCAAAAATGCACTGGAACGCACATGTCCCTATTTAAAATTGAAGAAAAAAGAAAATTAAATTTTAACTTTTTTTATTACATTTCCACATTTATAAAATCATAGGGCGGCATTCAGTGCACTAAAAAATATAGCAGCTGCAGCATTTTATTTATGTTCTCATGTTTGCAGTCCATTATCTGGAATTTTATGGCTTGTTGTGATGAACCGTCCCTTTGTGATAACATTTTTGCCCTGTTTCAGTTTTCTCCTCTTTGTAAAGCTGTATATGTTAGCGGCTGTTATGTAGACAGACATTCTACACTGTTTGTTTAGGGTAATGTGACCTTGTAGTCTTTCATTTCTATAGAGTTCATACTGTATTTTTGGGTTGTAGGGTTTTTGTTGGGTGGGGGAAAACCCAGTGCCAGGCTGTCTGGTGGGGGTGGGGGTGGGGGTGAAGCTATATATACTGAGCTGTGTTTAATAAAGAGTGATTCATTTCACCCTACATGAAGTTAGTGCTGGAAGACTTGCTGGAAAAGGGGACCATTGGCTGAGATGCATCTCTCCGCAAGAGGAAGCCCAGGCGGAACGGTTCCACCACACTTTATATATAAAACATTCATTGGATGGATGTCCAGCACATTTGCGCAGGCTGCATGAATATTGGCTGTAAATTCTCAGAGTAATCCCTATGGTCACTGCCATTATCTAGTGGCCACAATGTGGCATATATTCTCTCATTGAGGTATTTCAGAAAGTGATACTGAATTTTGTCCACTAGATAGCGCTCAAGATCATAGGAATTCATCTATTAAAAAAAGATGGCCGGAATTCCGCGCAGCGCGCACAAACGTGAGGGACAGTCGTTGAACAAATGTATAATTGGACGCATTCGTGTGACGCAGATAACAAGGAAAATAAATACTGATCGATAATGCACCACAATGGACTGAAAAAGTCTTAAAGGACCCTTAAGATTTCCACTTTCATTCATTAAGAGGCTATTTACCTGTCATCTTGTCACAGTTCTGAAGAAAAGCTTTCACGTCCTCCTGTTCATGTGGTGGAAGATTGTATATAGAAACTAATTAAAAAAAAAAAAAAAAAAAATCAAAAGGAAAAAACAGAACATATAACACTGGCTCTACAGAGGTGACATGGTTGGAACTTTTCATTGTGAGTTTCATTTTTTTGTCTACTGAGCATGTTGACAGTTTTAACCACTTGCCCTCCAGAGGATTTACCCCCCCTTCCTGACCAGGCCATTTTTTGCGATATGTCATGCATAAATTAAATTTACAACCTTTTTTTCTCACATATAGAGCTTTCTTTCTGTGGTATTTGATCGCCTCTGCGGTTAGCACCTTCGCCTGACAGTACTCGGGTCCTTGGTTCAAATCCCAACCATGGCACCACCTGCCTAGAGTTTGCATGTTCTACCTGTGCCTGCATAGGTTTCATCCGGGTACTCTGGTTTCCTCCTACACTCCAATGACATGCTGGGAGGATAATTAGTTCCTGTCCATATTGGCCCTAGTATGTGTATGTATGAATGTGAGTTACAGAAAGAACAAATCGACACTGGGAGGGGACCACACATGTAAAAATCTAAATTAGGTTAATGACAAAATGTGGATAAGGCAGAGGAAATATAACTATATAGAAAAATACAATTATTAAAAAAATGAATAGCGATAAGGCGAAAAAGGGACAAACAAGACATAAAAGTTAATAGTCCAGGGGTCCTAGGTAGAGGATGATGGGCGAAGGCAGCTCCCCATAGAGCGAAGCAGTACTCTGCAGAAGATAATTCGAACAGAAGGGGGCCCCAATCTCAGTGTAGAGGGTTAACATTTTATTGGTAACAAACGGTGTAAAAACTATTCACAAACGTAAGAAGTAATGAGACATGGTAAAAGAATTCCTTTGGTAAGCCGTCAGTCTGGTGACGCATCAGTCTGGTGACGCATCAGTTTGGTGACCTCAGAGGTCTGAAGAAGAAGCAAGTGCTTCGAAACGCGTCACCTGGCCTTATTCCTGCCTTGCCATTGGTTGCCCGCCGGGGTCCTGACTTTCTCGTGGTCCACGCTGGTTTCGGCACCATTGTCAAAACTCTCTGCACTGTTGACAGCTGACGGCTGCATCTCTGCTCATCCTGTTTGACCAGGACCAATTTACACATCTCTGGCAGACTGACGGCTTACCAAAGGAATTCTTTTACCACGCCTCATTACTTCTTACGTTTGTGAGTAGTTTTTACAACGTTTGTTACCAATAAATTATTAACCCTTTACACTGAGATTGGCGCCCCCTTCTGTCCGATGAATGTGAGTTAGGGACCTTAGATTGTACGCCCCTTGAGGGTTAGGGACTATTCTGACTCAGACTATGAGGCCATAAACCTTATCTCCAACGATGTATACAGCTATACCACGTGGTGTTGATTTCATCCCTTGCATCGGGTCGGACAGTTTAACTCAATAAATAAACTCACATATTGAGGAGTCAGATGAGGAAACCCATTCAAAGGTTCCATTTAATGGTGAATATTCATAGGTAGAAAAACTTTATTGTTGTAGCCTCATGGAAAATGCATTCAGGGATACAGGATACAGTGGAATGATTACAGAGGGAGGCAGGGGGGAGGAGAAAAAGAGCTCAGCTTAGACAGATGGAGACAGCTTAAAGGCACAGAGCAATAATAAACAAGTGATGATCACAGATAAATAATAATGAATCAAATAGTGTAACACAAAAGGGACTGATGTGAATGTACAATATATATGTAAAGTGCTGCGCATATTGATGGCGCTATATAAGTACCTGTAATTTAAAAATAAATAAACGTGGACGTATGTTCAGTCAGGACAGATGCAATGACAATCTAACAGAAACCAAATCAGTTTTATTAGGCGTAAGGATCTAGATGTTATGACCACAGCTCGCTAACCTAAGGAGTCCTCTAAGGGCCAACATTCATTCTGTCTTCTACATTCTGTTCTATTTTGGCTAAACAGCCCCAATAACGCGTCTCACCTGTAAACAAATATGGGAACAAGGAAGTCAGTGGTAATGTTGTCCGGTTCATACTCTATCAGGGCCGACATCGCTTCCTTAAAGTTCTCTTTCCACTCCACAGGCTGATTCAAAGGATAAAAATTTCCTGGAAAGAAAAGAAGGGAACAAGAACTTGCAATCAGTTGACCCACTTCAACAAAGTTACTGGAGAATATGGCGTACGCGGTATCAGACCACTGCCCTTTAGACCAACTCGTGACAAATGACTGGTTGATCTCAAACCGCGCTATCACTAATACGTCACAATGCCACTCTCCGCCTCACCCTGCACAAAGGTTCTCCAGCTCATGGGACCACAATCTAGGTGCCAGCAGCCCGAGAGCGATTGTCCCTGGGTTAACCACTTGACCTCTGGAAGATTTATCCCCCTTTATGACCAGGACATTGTTTGCGGTATGGCACTGCATTATTTTAGCTGACAATTGCAATGCCATACATAAACTCACCGGCCACTTTATTAGTGTGATGGAGCGCCTGTCACCCCGATTGGGTGACTCCATCAGAGAAACCACTTCCTCACCACTGGGACACAGGTCATTATTAGTTTATTTATTACACAAAAAAACAGTGCAAAAATTAAATAAATAAAAATAATCACAAATAAATAAATGTCTGTGCAAAAATATATATATAATATTTCAAACATAAGTCCTTATTTTCCCCAAAAGGATTTTCAAAACAATGTTCCAAAATGTGCTTCCACCTAATCACCACGTGAAAAATAATATTGACCGCACTCACCAGATGGAGGTGAGTAATAAGCCTCATAGGATATAAGGGATCCTATAGCCCCTCAGGAGGAAACTCAAATCGCCTTCACCCTGCTTAGATACAGCAATCGACTCCACTCTACTTCTCCATGGAATCCTCAATAATGTGCAAGGAAAGAAAGGCTACATAGTGTAATACTGTAATACTAGGGTCTTGAAAACGCCCTGTGGGTGGGGCGAAACGCGTTGACGCACTTCCGGTCTGCCGTCTTCTGCCGACTTTTGTGGTTAAAGCAGACATTTTTGAGGTGGAAAGCTGGTCATCCTCTACAGTGATCCTTAAAGCGTGAGATCCCTATATTTACAATTTGGAAACTTGTTCATTTGAAGCCTTTGAGGCTATTAAACAAGGCCTGTTATTTTATTGAAACATGTGTGGTGTCCTTATTCTATGGATTTCTATGGTATTGAGTGGCAGGATTACACTATGTAGCCTTTCTTTCCTTGCACATTATTGAGGATTCCATGGAGAAGTAGAGTGGAGTCGATTGCTGTATCTAAGCAGGGTGTAGAAGAGGCGATTTGAGTTCCTCCTGAGGGGCTATAGGATCCCTTATATCCTATGAGGCTTATTACTCACCTCCATCTGGTGAGTGCGGTCAATATTATTTTTCACGTGGTGATTAGGTGGAAGCACATTTTGGAACATTGTTTTGAAAATCCTTTTGGGAAAATAAGGACTTATGTTTGAAATATTATATATATATTTTTGCACGGACATTTATTTATTTGTGATTATTTTTATTTATTTAATTTTTGCGCTGTTTTTTGTGTTATTTATTATAGGTGGTTTTCACTGGTGCACAGCTGCATAATTGTATACTTTCTTTGATTGGCGCTGGGATTTTTTTAGTTCATATTGGTTTATTAATTTATTTTGGGTTGTTCTTTGGTGGTGGGTTATG